CAGCCTCAAGACTAAGGAAAGAGCCCTAAGTCAGTGACAAAGACATCAATGGTTTAATGGATAGAGGATCTTACAAAAGCAAAAGTGTCTTGGAGGGGCACCCCACCATGGAAGGCAGATGGCAGACAGTATATGGCAGCAAACTTTGCTACCTGGGGAAGAAGGGTGTTATCAGTTATAGGGGGAATTGACCTCAGCTTGGCTCATTGATTACCAGGGAAACCAGCAGAGGAGCACACCTCTCACCACCCCTTTGATAAACTATCATAGTGGAAATAGTTCTGATCTAAAGATTAGAATAATCACTAGCTAGGGTGGGGGTAAGTATGTAGGCATTTAATGATTAGGATCTAAGATTAAGAGGGAAGTAGGGTGAGTAGGGTGTAGGTGAGGCAGGGACTGGCTGAACTGGGGATGTACAGAGAGCAAGAGAACAGCCATTTGGGGTGACCAGATCATGTAGTTTCAAAGAACTGTCTGAAAAATACTTATTAATTACAAAGGGAAAAGGAGTAACTTTATAGTAGAGAAGTTTGGCAGAAGCCACTTTATTTAAATGATCAGGGTTAACATCACTAGTAATAGAACAAATGGAAATTGTGTGTTACCTGATAGGATACAATGAGAACACAGTCATACTTCTGTGATAGTTCTGTCCAAGATGCTTAACCTAAGTCTAACCACAAGGAAACCTCAGACAAATCTAAGCTGAGTGTCATTCTATAACAAAACTGTTCTGGAATCTTCATGACTCTTCCACAGTTAGTTGTGGTCATGTAACCTACTTCTGGTTCATTAAAATTTAAACTGAGGAAAATGGAGAAGGCTTTAGGAAAGTCATAATTTTTCTAATAAAAATGGGGTAGGCTTAGGTGTCATATACTCCTTGCCCTTTATTCTTCCCCCTTATTCCTATTTTTTAATAGATGCAATGTACAGATGTGAAAGAATGGAACACACTCCTTGCGACTATAAAGACTTAAGTTACATACTAAGTGTTACAAAGCAGAAAAGGAGAAACAACATGGTTCCTGGACCAGCTACCTTTAGGCTCCTTATTACATTACCCTTTGTTTGATTAAACCATGGATTTCTATTGATGTGGCCAAATGCAAACTAGTAAAAACAACTTGCTTTACCTTATTTTTCTATATCAACCTGTCTAGTTCCCCTCCCTGATGCCAGCATTTTTTGTTGGTAGTTTTATTGGTTATTGTATTCACAAAGTAATTTATAGACAATTGATTTCTTTATGATGTTGAGTCTTCTTCAAGCACATGGTATGCCTCTTCATTTGTTCTAGTCTCTTCTGTGCCTTAAATAGGATTTAAAAGTTTCTGTTATATAATTTTGCATTTTTCTGCTATTATCACCAATTTTTTGACCCCACAATTGATGCAAGGGGTAAACAGATGCTTTTCTGAATCCCAAGAGAATCTGAAAGAGTGGAGTGACATTTGGGTTATGACAAAAATCTGTCAAGTTGTTACCAACAAGGGTTCTTGGCCTTCCTTAATCAATAGATATTGATGAGGTTAGACAAGAAATTCAGACAAGGATTTTTTGGGGCTCCTGCTGCAGCATGAGGGGGCAAAAACAAGTAACAGTTTCTCTTGCTTTCTCACTGAGGAGGGAGGCAAGCTGGTTCCTTATGTGGGGTGAGTGTAGGGGTGGGTCGAGGGGTTGGGCCGGAGAGGTGGCTTGGGTGCTTTGCCCACCCCTTTGTTTATTCAGTTGCTCAAGGAGGTATTTGTCCAGGTGCAAGCACTGCAGCAAAGTATCCCAGGTCCCAGCCTGTCTCATTTCCGAGAGGAGTGATGTTGTAGCTGCCTGACGTCCACTCTCTTGGATGGATAGGACAGAGAAGTAGAAGAGGACAGAGAAAGGAGAAGTAGAGAGATATCAGGAGAGGGAAAGGGACAAAAGGGAGAGGGAAAGCATTGCTTGAATGAGGGTACTGAAGTCTTCAGGGGCCAGGAAGGCAGACTTACCAAACTTGGTGACACCCAAACAAGAGGTTCAGGTGGCCGCTTGACACCCATGGGAAAGCTGCATTCAGTGGTCCCAGAGATGCCCAGATTCTCTCCCAGGAAGGGGACAAATGCCCCACACTGGGTGCCACAAAGTCTGTTATTGACCAGGGTTCTTGGCCTTCTTTAATTAATAGAAATTGATTAAAGGCCAGACAAATTCAGGCAAGGCTTTATTGGGGCTCCTGTAGCAGGAGGGCAAAAAGAAGTAACAGATTCCCATGTTTGCTTGCTGAGTCTGGGGCGAGCTGTTTCCATCTATGGGGTGAGGGTAGGGGTGGGTCCAGGGGTCGGGCCAGAGAGGTGGTTTAGGTGGTTTGCCCACCCCTTTGGGGGTATTGTGTACAGGGGTCATGCTCATTACCCTGCTTTTGCTACTGGTACCCTACTTTTGCCTCCTGTTTTTGTTCCTGGCTCTTCAGAAGTGGCAGTTGGGTTTTAGTCTTTTTGTATCTTGTCCATAATTTGCCCCAACTGTGCATGCACACAGTTATTTTTAGTCCCATGTAGTTTCTTTGTATTTTGTTGCTGGAGGAGACATTTGTCCAGGTGCAAACACTGCAGCAAAGTGTCCCAGGTCCCAGCCTGTCTCAAAGTCACAGTGGGTTAAATATTTCAAGGTTAATTCATAAATTAAAATTCACTTTTCTGTAACAAAAATGCAATGAATACATCTATTTTGAATATCAAACAAGTAAACACTACATGTTTGAAGTTAAGATTTTCAGATAGGTGAAATAGAAACTCCTGGGAAAGCTTCTTGGAAACACAAATTCAGTTTTATGAAAACTTAAAACGAAGCATATTTATCTGATAAATGGAATATTGCCTGCCATATCAGTAAACAAAGGATGTCACAGTCATCAGTGATTACAGCCACAGCCTAAGGTGAGCTGCTGAATCCTGAGGGAACTCAGGAAGAAAAAGAATACCTGCCATCTAGCAGCCATCAGACTATAGCCACTCCCCACGGAGAGCCCTGAAGAAACAGGATATGAAAACACAAGATATGGGCCCCAGATAGCTGAGGTGCATATCAAAGCAACGATTTCAGTGAGCCCAGACTCTTGCATCTCCCCATATACAGAAAAGCATTAAATTACTTAACTTGACATATGTGGTTTTCTTTAATTAATAATATTTTGACTTTCAGACTACCTGCCGCTTGTTGCAAAACTCCTATATATCCTGGCTCCCTGCTTTGCCTCCTTGGAGCAGTTCTCTCAGGGAACTGAGATGCTGCCTCCCAGGCTTGAAGTCCTAAAAATTCCCGCCAAATAAAACATAACTCTCAACTTTTAGGCTGTGAATAATTTTTTAGTCGACATACTTCAATCTGGTTTATGTTAACTATTTTTAATGTTTTTAAAGTATCTAGTTTGTTATTATTCTCCAACCTTCTTCTTTACCTTTGTGATTATATATAAGCTCGGTGTTTTATAGTCTCAAAGCACTTGATTAATACTTTAGAATGTCTTATTCTTCATGGAACTTAAAGTTTTATGTTTGGGAGATGTTGCCAAAAAAGCTTGGCTCTCTGTGCACCGATGTTGAACAGAATACAGAGACAGAGACTTTGGAGGATAAGAGAGATGGCTTTATTCCTCTGCCAGGCAGAAGGGAAGACATGGCAGGTTAGCACCTCAAGAACTGTGCCCCCCTTGCATTCTTTTTCTCCTTGCGTTTTTTCAAAACAGTCATAGCTGGCATTAGGCAGCCTGGTAATTGGGTCCTTTTGTCTCTGGTTTATAGGCCAGAGACCTTCTTTCTGAAGCCAAAAGCTACAGGGGGTGATTTGTTACAAGGGAGCATAGTAAATGTAAACACCAGGAGGAGGATGTAATTTACACAAAGTTAGGGAGTGGGGCTTCCCTGGTGGTGCAGTGGTTGGGAGTCCGCCTGCCGATGCAGGGGACACGGGTTCGTGCCCCGGTCCGGGAAGATCCCACATGCCGTGGAGCGGCTGGGCCCGTGGGCCATGGCCGCTGAGCCTGCGCGTCCAGAGCCTGTGCTCCACAACGGGAGAGGCCGCGGCAGTGAGAGGCCCGCGTACCGCAAAAAAAAAAAAAAAAAAAAAGTTAGGGAGGGATAGGTTAGCTTTGTGAAGTACAAATCTAGTTACAGACACTACAGATTAGTAACAGTTAAAATAAAATAAGGGGTGATTAGCTCTTTCAGGCCAGGTTATGTTTCTTCTCTAGCCTGTTCACTGTTCCCTTTATTTTCCTTGTTCTCAGGAGAGGGAAGAAAACCCCTCATTTCTATTTTTATTGTAGCACAGACACAAACATAAAACAGGAACACACAAATAGGTAATTGCACACTGTAATGAAAAATGCTTGAGTGAATACGTATGAACAAATAATATGTCAGTCAGAAAAAATGTTACACTTTAAATAAGCACGTATAAATTACGAAGTGCAATGCAAAATTCACATGACTTTTTCATATACTGTACTTTAAAAAAGTCCACCAAAGCAAAACACTGACTCTTCAAAGCAATTTTGCCCTCCTGCTACCTTGCATTGCCTTTCTGGCCAGCCTTCCTTCGTTCCATTCCTCCAGCACAGGGAAACCTCTTTGGCGGGAAGGGCGCTTTGGTGGAAATCTTTGAAAGGTGCGGATTTAACCTCCCTGAGTGTCTAACTTACTGCGGAGATTTTAAGAGGAGATAGCTGATAGCTGAAAATGCCGTCAGAACCTTGCAAAACGCGTAACAAATGTACACCTACACCAGTCCTGCTCAGTGCAATCTCAATATACGAAGGTGGGCAATTCCCCGGCTAACTTCCGGCTTCCTCTAAAACCACGGGTTAGACAATTCACCCAAATAGTAAGCGACAATCAGATCTGCGCATGCTCTGCTGGTGGACAGCGCCCCTCCTGCTCCTAGTTGGAAGTCCCGGTTTGTTTAGTAAATTACGACAGTCGTAAACTGAGATTTTGTGACGGCTTCCCAACTTTACGACAGCCACTATGGCGGCTGCCGGTGGCGGGTTTGAAAGTGCGAGAGTCGTCGACGAGCGTAAAGAACAGACTCGGATTTCCAGGACCGAGGTGTTGGGACAGGTACCTCTGTTTGGGGGCTTCGTGAACCATTTAGAATTGAGAGAGTGGAGGCTTTCTGGGAGCCAGGCCCCTGGTTCTCCTGCCTCCCCGCAGCCTTAGTATCTCACCTTACCTGGTTGTGTGGGGGTAAATGTCTCTCTTTGGAATGTCCGCAAATTCTTGGGTATCTTCTGCCTCCTAGATGCTCTGGCAGGCTCCAGTTGCTCATACTCTTTTCAGTAAGACTTGTTTATTTCCTCTGAATTTCCTTATCCTTTAAATAATACATTCTTGACATTTCTATCACCTGATACCTGAGCTGCGCACTTTCGAAGAACTCCGCCACTTAAAACGACTCTCTGCGTTCTATATAGCCTCAATCCTCGCTCTTGCTATATCTGAAATGAAATTTTCCGTTTCCAGGAACACATGTAAGCCTTGTCAGAGTAGACCTTTTCATTCTCCTTTTAAACTATTTACATCAGTTATTGGCTTATTGTAAATACTTACTGATGCAAACAAGGATTGAGACAAGAGACCCAGAGAATTCAGCACTTCGAAAAAGGTTGAGAAGCATTCTGTTTCTCATTAAGATTGAGATAGGGTAGAGGTAACATAAAGAATGCAGGAAGTAAACTGTACTACTGAATTATCTGACAAGATGTAAGAAGTGTGGCAATGAAGGGGAAAAGTTGTAGTTGGAGAGCAATGTAAGGTGAAACAAGTGATAGATTTTGTTTTAAGCTGGAACAGTTTAAAGCGAGTTTAAATGCAGACGAGAAGGAGCCGGTATAGGAGACAGGAAGGAGAAGGTGTACCGACTACAGCCAGATTTACAGGGGAAGAGAGGGCAATAAGTCTTAGGTGAAAGGTTGGTGGTGTTCCCTGATTTCAGTATATGTAATATATGTGTATAATAAATATCCTTCATCCTTGTCTCTGATATTTCAGGCAGTTTTTGGAGAGAGTAGGGTTTGTGATAAATTGTATAGTAGAGCTACGTACAGAGGTTTGAGAAGGATCAACCCCAGCTTTGAAATTTGGGGACAGAATGTAAAGGCAGGAACAACTTCCTAGAAATATCTTACTTTATTTGACTGTTGTTGAAAGATGAATAAAAATTAGCAATATAATCATTTGCTTTTAGAAAGGTGATTCTTCCTGAAGCATTTTGGGGGTGTTGGTAGAGGGGTTTGGGCACTGCAGACTGAAGGTGTGGAGGTCAGTCCCCAAACAGTTACAAAAGTGTCAGGCAGTATCAGTGGAATAGTGAAGGGAAAAGAGATTCAAGTCATGTTTGAGGTAGGGAGCTTAGGGAGAGGGAAGGGTCTACCATAGGTCCCCGGATTCTGTCTGATTGGTGGCTCATTTCACTAGAGATTGGTAATTGGTAATGCAATTGGTAATGTGGAAGGAGAGTTTTTTTTGTTTAAATCTTTCTTACACTTTGGTAGAAGCAAATTCCTGGTAAGCCTTATATGAAAGAGGGAGAAGTTTTTGTTTTGCTTTTTTGTGAAAGGCAAGTGGATCAATTGTTAATTTTTCTTTTTTCACTGTTTTAGGCTAAAGCCAATTTTGAAAAGGAAGAAAGACGTAAAGAACTTAAACGACTTTGGGGTAAGGAAACATGGATGCTACCTGATGTGAATAAGCGAGTTGAACAGATCTCACAGGTGAATACTAACAGGCTTACTTGATGTAAGCTTATCTGTCTTTTTTTTTCTTTTTGTACTTATTCAAGTTAATATTGGAGGAGTAACTTTATAGACTATTTTTGCAAGTTACAGAATGAATATCACATAGTTGGCATTACTGAATATTTTCTCTCTCTGGCCAAATAATATTTTGGACATAATGACATTGGAAAGATTTTGTTAGTTGAGTTGGCTGGTAGAAAGCTTAGCTTCAAATTTCTAGCCCACTTGTGGCAAGTTTATGGATCTAAAAAGTTATGCGTTTTTAGCTTAATGTCATGCTTTTGTTTCTTTTTCTTTTTTTTTTTAGGGGGGTTGTCTCAATCCTTGTTTTCTTTTCCTACAGTTTATGCTATCTTGTTACATTTTATGTGGCTAGTAATCTTCTATAAATTCTTTTGGGCCTATTGAAGGAGATACACGTGTATGTCTGGGCATATATGTGTTTATTTGATTATATCTGTCTGTCAATGTATCTACAAATAAAACTTCCTTCATTTTTCTAACAAATTTTAGCTATATGATTTATTAGTAGTGGCATATATTATAGAAGTATGGTAAAGTTTCTTAGAAGAAATTATTTATTTAGTCATATTCCTTGTCTCCTTTCATGAAAGATTTAAAGTTTTTTGGAATATAGAGCTTTCTTTTCCTCAAAATACTTCCTTTTAAAGTAAGCTAAACTAAATTCTTACCTCTTCGACATGATTATTTATAGGAACACTCTGTGAAGAAAAAGAAGAAAAAAGACAAGCATTCAAGAAAAGTAAAAAAAGAGAAGAAAAAAAAGAGCAAGAAACAAAAGTGTGAAAAAAACGAGTCAACTGACAGTTCATCAGTAAGTATGCACTAAAACTAACCAAAGCAGCTACTTGAGAAAATTGTATTTAGAGGAACAACATATAGGAACCTAAAATATATATGAGAACTTAGATAATATTATTAGTTAGGATATGAAAATGCCTGGGAGACATCTACCTGGAGATGTCCAGGAAATGGTAGAAATATGGATCTTAGGTTATAGATAAAGGTAAGAGGACGGAGATACATTTTGAGAATCATTGCTCATTGAAGCCATTAGAATGGATGAATTGCCTAGGGTAATTGAAAAGAAAGAAGAATACCAATACTGAGGAGCCAGACAGAAAATAAAGGATATTAAGTAGAAGTAGTTGGAAAATTAGGAGAAGCAGGAAAGAGTAGTACTGTAAAATAAGGGAAAAGAGTGCCAAGATAATTCAGAGTCTGTTACTTCTGTTTGCTTTTCATAGAAATTAACATTTAAGTCTTTAAAATAGGTTGTATTTATATATTTATCTTTGGGACAAAAAGGAAGAGAATGCTAGGTCTGCTGTGTCTCTAGCCAGGTCTGGGATGAGAGGACTCACAGAGGATAGGAATGCAGGCCAAACCCTCATGCTTATTTTCAGGAAGAGAAAGGTATGTTGTGCTTAGTGAGTGATGAGCTAGAGATGTTTAGGGATAATTGGACTCATAGGTACGATCTTCAGAGGATTATACTCTCAGTTGAATCATCATGTTTGACAATCTGGCCTTCTTGTAGTTTCAGAAATTAAATTTTTGGCAGTATACCCTGAGATGATAATTGGCTCATGAAAGCCTATCTTATTTGAGAACGCAGTATCTTAATTCATAGTGAGAAATACACCTGGATAGTTCTATTGACTATCCAGCATGTTTTGTAATGGTAGGAATATTATATAGAAAAAAAATTTTTTTGGAATATAACTCAGCGCAAAGGGAGTTAGAAAATCTTAATGAGAAAAGAAGATAGAGGTACTTTTTCCACAATTGTAGGATTGAGTTGCTGACCCCATTGAGAATCTGATAAAAGTGATCTTTTCTTCAAAAAGAAATTTATATACAAAGTTGTTTATTTCAGGGGAGTTTGTAAAACTCCCAGGAGTTTACACAAGGATCACAGGTTAAGAATCCTCATCCCATGGGGATATATCTGCCAGGGCCACTAAACATTTATATCATTTGATTGAGGGCACTTGCTTCCCTTTATTAGAGACACACTGTCCTGTTCTTTGTTGTTCTTGTTGCTATTGCTGTTCTTCTCTGCAACATACATAAGTCTTTTTGTTGCAACATATAGCATGTACATTTATACATACCTATTAAGTTGTATAACATATACCTTAGAGTAGTTTGAATGAATGCTCAGTGCCCACATCACATTGAGGTTGACTGAAGAAGAACAGAGAAACTTATACTGACAGTGAAGGGTAGGAAAGACAGAATGATAGCTAGGGGAATCAGGTTGGTTGGGAGGTCTTTTTGAGAAAATGTTTTTAGGAAGAGAGGGATAAATATTGCTGAGGAGAATGCTAAGTTTGGGTGAGCAAGCTTCCAGGGGAAGGGGTAAGCTTAGATGGGAAGTAGGATCACCTTCTCTTTTGAGTTAGAGGGAAGTAGTAAAGATGTATACAAATACAGATAAATAAGGAGGAGGTGGCAGATAAATAAGAAGGGGAGCAGATTATTGATGATGTCTCTGTTTCCTTTGTGAAGTAGAAGGTAAAATCATCATCTGAGATGACAGCTTGGGAGTAGAAGTAGGATGGAGGGATTGAGGAAATAGTATAGATTTGAAACAACTTTGCTTAGGTAATAAAAGAAGCAAATGAATTGTTGGGAACCATTGAGGATCCATGTGAGGCTGGAAAGCATATCTTGACTGTCAAGGTTTCTATTTTTTTTTCTTTTAACTTTTAAAATGAGCTTTACTGAGGTATAATTTATATATAATAAAATAATCCTATATTAATTGTACTATTTAATGAATATACCTTTTTAACTCTGTCAGTTAAGATAGCATTTCCATTCCCCATAAAGTTCTTCATGGCTCTTTGCAATCAATTCCTCCTCACCCTCTCTCCTCCTCCACTCTGGGATTGGGCAGGCGTAGATCTGCTTTAGCACACTATAGATTAATTTTCGCTGTTCTAGAATTTCATATGAATATTCATATATGGTTGACTCTTGAACAACACGGGTTTGGACTGCACAGGTCCATTTGTACGTGGATCCTTTTCGAGGAATATGTACTATAGTACTGCACGATCTACAGTTGGTTAGTTGAATCTGTGGATGTGGAACCATAGATGTGGATGGCCAACTGTAAAGTTACACGTGGATTTTCCACTGCACGGAGGATCAGCACCCCTAACCCCCACATTGTTCAAGGGTCAACTGTAATATGATCCTTTTTGTGTCGGGCTTCTTTGGCTTTACATAATGTTTTTGCAACTCACGTAATTGCATGTAACAGTATTTCCTTTCTCTTTATTGCTATATTCCAGTGTATGAATATACCATAATTTGCTTATCTGTCTTATCTGTTCAAAGTCATTTGGGTGGTTTTTTAGTTTGCGCTAGTATGAATAAAGCTACTGTGAATGTTTGTGTACAAGTCATTTGGTGGACATGTTTTTCTCTTGGAAGAATGCCATAGTTTTCCAAAGTGTTTGGACCATTTTACACTCCTACCAGCAATATATGAGAATTCCAGTTATTCTACATCTATGCAAGCACTTGGCGTTTTCAGCCTTTGTACTTTTTTGACCATCCTACTATGTGTAGTAATATTTCATGTGATATTTCCTTGAACACCAGTGATGTAGAACATTACTTTAAGTCTTTATTGGCCATTCCGTTTTCTTTTATGAAGTCCAATTTATTATTTTCTTTTATCATTAACTTTTCGTAGTTACTGCTTTTGTTGTCCTAATTTTTGCACATCTCAAGGTTGTGAAGATTTTCTCCTGTGTTTTTTTCAAGAAGTTTTGTAGCTTTGGCTTTTTCATTTATCAGCGATTCATTTTGAGTTAATTTTTGCTTATGGTATGTAGTAAGTGTCAAATTTTAGTTTTTCCACGTGGATTTCCACTTGTTCCAGCATCATTTGTTGAGAAGGCTAACCTTTCTCTGTTGAATTACTTAGGCTCCTTTGTTTTAAATACAATTGAGCATATATATTTGGGGGTTAATTACTAGACTCTGTTCTGTTCCCTTGGCTTGTATGTCTCTCCTTGGCCAGTAAATAAACTGTTGTAATTACTGCAAGTTTAGGGTAACTCTTGGAATAAGGTAGTGTAAGTTCTATGATTTTGTTCTTTTTGAAAATTGTTTGCTACTCTAAGTTCTATGCATTTTTAAAATAAATTTTAGAATCAGCCTATCACTTGCAACAAAAGTATGTACTGATATTTTGATTGGAATTGTTTTGCATCAATAGATCAATTTTAGGAGAATTAATATCTTAAAATAGAGAGTCTTCCAACCCATCATGCATGTGGTATATCTCTCCATCTCTTTAAGTCTTCTTTAATTTCTCTCACAGTGTTCTGGAATTTTCAGTGTAGAGGTCTTACTATCATCTTTTGTTATATTTTTAATATTTTATTTTCTTGGGGTGCTGTTGGAAATGGAATTAAAAAAATAAATTTTATTTTTTGTGTCTTTGCAGCTAGCATATATGTTTACAGTGGATTTTTGTATATTTACCTTGTATCTTGTCACCTTGCTAAATTCACAAGTACTAGTGTTAGTTTTTTTTGGTTGATTTCTTAGTACATGATTATATTATGTGTGAATAAAGACACTTTTTTTTCTTTCCGATCTCCAGGCATTTTATCCCATTTGTTAATTTTTTGTTATTTTATTTCACTCGCTAGGCCTTCAATATAGTGTTGAATAGAAGTGGTGAGAGTGGACATCCTTACCTGTTCTTTATCTTAAGTGGAAAGCATTTATCTTTCACCTTTAAGCATGGTGTTAGCTGTGGGCTTTTCATGTATGCCCTTTTAGACTGAGTAAATTCTCCTCTATTTTTATTTTTTTCTAAGAGTTGGTGTCTTGAATAGCATTGGATTTTGTCAAATACTTTTTCCTGCATCGATTTATATAATCATATGATTTTTCTCCTTTATTCTGTTAATATGGAGAATTACATTGGTTGATTTTTGAATGTTACAGCAACCTGAATTTCTGGGATACACTCTATTTGGTTATTTTTGTTTATTTAATTATAAAATATTTTATTTATATATACTTACAAGCACATTTTATTTTATATATATTTTTTCTGATGTGATTTGCTCACAATTAGTTGAGAATATTTGCATCTGTGTTTATGAGGGGTATTGGGTTTTGTTGTAAGGGTAATGCTGGCCTCACGTATGAATTTGGAAATATTCCCTGTTCTCCCATTTGTAGAAGAGTTTGTGCAGGATTGGTGTGATTTCTTCCTTAAAGGATTGTTAAAACTCACTAGTCAAACTGTTTGGGCCTGGAGTTTTCTTTGTGGGATGCTTAAAGCCCACATTTAATTTCTTTAATATCTGTATTAAATGTTTTCTCTTTATTCTTGAGTTAGTTTTGGAATTAAGGTTTGCAAGGAATTTGTTTATTTCATCTAAATTTTTGAATTTATCGTCATAATATTGTAATATTCCATTATTGTCCTTTTAATGTCTGTTGAGTCTGTAGTTATGTCCTCTCTTTCATTCCTGATTTTGGCTATTTCTATTTTCTCATTATTTCCTTGGTTAGAATAGTCTTAGGTTTATCAATTGTATTAATCTTTTCAAAGAATTGCCTTTTAGTTCATTAATTTTCTAGTTGTGTGTTTTCTATTTTATTGATTTCCACTCTCTTTTTACTGTTTCTTTCCTATTACCTATTTTGTATTTAATTTGCTCTTCTTTTTCTAGCTTCCTGAAGTGGGTGTGTAGATCTTTGATTCTAAATCTTTCTTATTTTCGAATGAGTATTTAATCTACAATTTTTTTTCCTAACACTGTTGTATCT